TTTAAAGAAGAACTCCAAATTGAGGGCTTCTAGCATTAATTTAAAAGGTGTGTTGGGTTAGCGGTTGACACGGGGTAGAAGTATGTTAATGTTTTTTTTTTTTTTGAAAGCATGAAATTGTTGATAAATGATTTTGTCAATCAACGTTTGAGTAGTGGATTGAGTTGGCAAGTTACAAAAAAATGTTTGGTAATTTAATTGTTTGGCCGTATCGGTTATTTGCAGGAATTCTATTTAAGCAATTCCGTTTTAAAACGTTAAAGTCAGATAGTTATTTTATCAAACAACTTGTATGAGCATTTTTCACTTATTAAAAAGGATTTTTACAAGAATATTACTAAAATAAAACTTATTTACATAAATATGACTATTCATTACTACAACGTAGTGTTGTGGTAACTTAAGTTAAAAACTTGAACATGAATCACTATGATTTCATTACTACTCTAGTAACTAGTCATATTTTTGTAAATCATCTTTATTTGGTCATATTTATGTAATTATTTCTTATTAAAAACGTTAAAAATTGTCAAACTATTGTTTTGTTATAACAATGCCATTATATCACCACCCAAAAGAATTCATACACTAAATAAACTACATGTGAAAAGTGTGTAAATGTATTATATTTTGGCCTGGTATACATAATGGAAAATGACGAATTTAGTTATTTTGGTGTAATACCTCATGTATTGAGTTGTAATATGATATTAAGAGTTGTGAATACATTTGAGTAATGTGCATATTAACGTAGTACTCTGTAATATTTAGGTTGTTGATACATGTATGTGTTATGTTTTTGTGTAAATGATGTAACAAATAATGTAAGCTATGTGTGACGATGTAGAAATGTAATGCATTTGTATATAAACAATGCAAAATGATGAACTTAAAGATAAGTCCTAAATACCTCTGTATAGGCAAGTGTACCCTATATATCTCTTAATACACAAGTGTAAGATAATTAACGAAACCTTAGTCATTGGCACTTTTTGAAACATTAGCAAGTTTCGAGGTCAACCATTCTTCTTTTATGAGCTTCTTCCTTTGTGTCATCATCAATAAAACTTTTATCATCAATCTTTCTCTACCTTTTCTCGTCCCCTTCCATTCTTACTACATATAATAATATTATCCTTTTTATTTGCTTGTTTCATATAGATCTTTGTTACGTTTTTCTCTCGAATTGGATAATAAATTTATTGTCGACCCTGAGAATAAGCTAGCTAATCTTCTGTGCATGGGAGGATGGCATCTTCTCGAGTTGAAATTCATGCAAAGGATTGACAGATGCCTTATATGTTGTAAATTAATGTATCTTTATGTTTTTTATCTTTTCGAATCACATTAATTTAATATGTTTATGTAATTTATGTATTTGTTAGGCAACGTGAATGTAGATGATTATTTTCTTATTTACAATGTTCATTATGTCTAGTAAAAATGGTGTTTTGTTTCATATACAAAGAAGTTTGTGTGACGATGTTTATTAGATATGTGTGCAATCTATCTAACTAAAGAAGTTAATTATACGATTCAAGAAAATTGTCTCTTGCTTTTTGAAAAGATTTATCGCTTCGCAGTTTTCTCTTCATAAATAAGAGCGTCAACAAAAAGTTAGTGGTTTATGAATATCTTAGAATAAGAAAATGTGAACTCTTATTCTTTTATTGCTATTACGTTATCTCATGGCTAACACAATTGAAAATTGTTAGTAAATATAGCTAATTGAGTTAATTAGAATTGTAATGAGATTATTGCACTAAAATGAACATAATTCTTAAAAATGATCGTTTGTGTAACGTGGTAAAATGAGAGTCATAACAACATATATATGTGTCACGTACGTGTAAGTGAATCCAATGATTTAACGATGGTTTACGAACACCCAAATAGCGCCAAAGGCCATTATTCAATTGTTCGATATCAATTTCATGTGTTTGGATTTTTAATTTATTTTTGATGGTAAACTAATCAGCTTTATTAAGAAATATTGTCATGTGTCAATTGACTTACAATGCATTGAGAAACTATATCATAATCATGACTACATTCTGGCGTTGAACCGGCCGCTTGATGGTTGTAAAACCGAAGCCAAAATATGGAGAATATTTTCTATTATTGTGTGTGTTCGTATACAACATGCATCCCATATATACAAGATGCGCATGAGTACTTTACAACGTACGAGTACTGTCATGCGTAACTAAAGGAGAAAAGAAAGGAAAGTAATTAAATGTAAAAACAGTCCTATTCTAATCTCACCGCTACGTACGTACATATGAAAATGTTACAATAAAATTATGTACACAAAAAATGATAATAATAGTAACGGCCAACACCCCCCCTCAAGATGGAGCATGGGGATCACAAATGTCCATCTTGCCAAGTAGATAGGAAAATTGATGTGCTCCAAGGGCTTTAGTAAGTAAGTCCGCCGGTTGGTCCGTCGTAGGTGTGTAGGAAGGTTGAATGGTACCAACTTGAATGTGATCTCGTATAAAATGACAATCAAGCTCGATATGTTTGGTTCGCTCGTGATACACCGGATTTGAAGCAATATGCAATGCGGCCTGATTATCACAAAAGAGACGAACTGGACCAGAATGTGTGACGCCAAGTGACAAAAGTAAATTTCGTAGCCAAATGAGTTCACAGGTCAAGGATGCCATGGATCACAGGTCAAGTATACTCAGCTTCTGCAGAAGACCGAGAAACAGTGGTCTGCTTCTTGGTCCTCCAAGACACGGGAGAAAAACCCAGAGATACAAAATAACCTGTGACAGATCGACGTGTAACTGGACAACTCGCCCAATCAGCATCACAATAACCAGTGAGTGTGAGTGATGAATCAGATCGTAACAGAATGCCCTGTCCTGGCCGTCCTTTAAGATATCTGAGTACACGGAGTACAGCCTCCCAATGAGCCATCCTGGGATTTTGCATAAACTGCGAGAGAATATGGACGGAATAGCAGATGTCAGGTCTGGTCAAAGTCAAATAGATCAATTTCCCAACGATCCTCCGGTATCGCTCAGGATCAGAAAAATATGGACCAGAGTCTGACTGCAACCGATGATTCTGCACCATAGGAAAAGTAACCGGCTTGCACCCTGAAAGGCCCGTCTCGGAAAGGATGTCAAGCACATATTTCCGTTGACAAAGGAAAATCCCAGTAGGATTCCGTGCAACCTCAATGCCAAGGAAATATTTCATTACCCCCAATCCTTGACAGGAAATGTGGAAGCAAGGAATAATTTGAATTCTTCTATCATGGTTCGGTCATTCCCGATTATTAGTAAGTCATCGACATAAATAAGTACACAAATGATATGGTTATCCTTACGTTTGGTGAACAAGGAGTAATCCGCATGTGATTGTGTAAAGCCATAATCTCGTAAGGATGACGTGAGCTTAGAGAACCAACATCGTGGGGCCTGACGAAGCCCATAAAGTGACCGAAGTAAACGACATACCTTACCGGGAGATGATGTGGAATACCCCGGTGATAAGTGCATGTACACTTCTTCGTGAAGATCTCCATGAAGGAATGCATTATCGACATCCATTTGATGTAGCTCCCAATGACAAGATGCCGCTACCGCTAGAATGGTACGTACCGTAACCATTTTGGCAACTGGCGCAAACGTCTCACTGAAATCAATCCCCTCCACCTGGCGGTTCCCGCAAACAACCAAGCGTGCTTTATAACGCTCCACCGAGCCATTACTTTTGTACTTGATCTTGTAAACCCACTTGCAGTAAATAGCTCTTTTTCCGGGTGGTAAGTCTCGGATTTCCCACGTACCAGTACGTTCAAGAGCCTGAATTTCACGACTCATTGCTTCCCTCCATTGAGGATCACGTACTGCTTCTCCAAAGGTATTGGGCTCCTTAGTCATGGTGATAGCTGCAAGAAAAGCTCGGTGCGGGACCGAAAAATGATCATATTTTATATGATGAGATAGTGAATAAGGAGTACCTGAATCTGCCGTGAGAGTGGGGACACCATCGGGGTGAGAGTTTATTTTAACCGTGTTCAATTGCACATCATAGTCTTGATGCCACGTTGGAGCCTTGCGGGTACGCTCACTTCTTCTACGTTGATCCAATTCATGCGTGTGTATGCTAGTATCCACACTGCCACCGGCTGTATCATTCATAGTGTCAGTCAAATAATTATGACTAACATTCTCCGGCTGTGTAGAGCCGTGTTCCTCCTCTCCACCTGACCGCACAATTTCATGACATGTGTCAGCTCCTTCACATGTGTCAGGCAAGGCATTATCATCATGCCCATGCACGTATGTCTCCCATGCATGCATGTCATCCCCTGTAGGTTTATCATGATCCAAAACAAGTTCTCCAGGTTTAAAGGGAAACTCATGCTCAACGAATTTCACGTCTCGTGAGACGAAATGACATCTGTTCTGTAAATCGTACACCTTCCAGCCCTTTTGAGAATAAGCATACCCCAAAAAAACACATTTTATACCACGGGGGGGCAAATTTATCTCCTCCATTGTTTGTCACATGTGCGTAGCAAAGACAACCAAAAACCCTCAATTGACTATATACCGGTATTTTGTTATATAACAATTCATAAGGGCTTTTATTGTCTATCACGGGAGAGGGTAAGCGATTGATTAAATATCCTGCGGTCAACACACATTCGCCCCAGAATTCAATGGGTAAATTCGCATGAAATCGAAGAGTTCTAGCCATATCCAAAATATGTCTATCCGCTCTACCCTACCATTCTGTTGAGGGGTGTACACACAACTTGTTTGAAAAATGATTCCGTTAGTCAAAAAATATTCCTGGAGACTTAAAAATTCCTTGCCATTGTCACTTCTCACAACTTTCACATTTTTATTAAATTGTCTATTAGTCATGGCAATGAATTGTTTAAGAATATTTTTGACTTCACTCTTGTCACGCATTAAATGCACCCAAACAGCTCTAGAAAAATCATCAACCACAGTCAAAAAATAACGTGCACCACAAGTAGACATTTCACTATAAGGACCCCAAATATCACAGTGAATTAACTCGAAAGGTTCAATAGCACGACTACTACTAACAACAAAACTATCACGAGTCTGTTTGCCTCTCATACAGGCTTCACACACTTTATTTTGATCAAAATGCAACAACGGTTTATTGAAATAACCAAGCAAACGAAGTACTTTTATTGACGGATGACCCAACCTCGAGTGCCACAAAACACCTGAATCTGAACTTCCCACTGCATATGCCTGTGCTTGATCCAGACCCCGGAAAAAATAAACTCCCCCTCGTCGTTCACCCACTCCAATCGGCATCCTCGTAGGTAGGTCCTGTATTACACATAAATCATTAGTAAAAAAATACATCACATTTCCGGTTATCAATTAATTGTGCCAAGGAAATTAAATTGCATGTTAATCCAAGCACTAGCAGAACATTAATCAATTTTAAGCTTGAACTGAGAGCTACACTTCCTACGTGAGTAGCCTTGGTGTGTTCACCGTTTGGCAACACTACTGCCACAGGTGCAATTCGCACCATCTCCTTTAGTGCATTATTATTCCCGGTCATATGATACGAGGCTCCGGAGTCGAGAAGCCACTCGTCATTAAGTTCCATACCTGAGAGTTTTTCCCCGGAGGAAGTAGCCTTACAGTTTTCCATCAGTTTGATGAACGTCTGCCACTGTTCATCGGTGAATCCCGGCTTATGTAGGACCACCTCCTTTACTCCTTGTGCCGATGTATTATCTGCCTGGTACTCGCCCACGTGCATAGCATGTGCAGTTCCTCGTCCAGCTCCTCTACTCGAACCTCCACGTCCGGGGCTGCCACGACCGGATCCTCCCCGTTCTCTTCCTCCTCGAGCACGGCCCGGGTTTTCATACCACCATTCCGGATAATTTCCGGTTCGTCGAAAACAATTATCAAAATCATGGCCAGATTTTTGACAATAGGTGCACCTCACTCTTTCATCCTTCCCAACAACAGGTCCAGTACGTGTAGCAAATGCCACCACTTCTTGTTTTCCTTCTCTCCCTCGTGTCATATTTTGATGTCTTTCTTCTTGCACCACCATGTTGTACACTTTAGTTAACGATGGCAATTCATCTGCACCAAGTACATTAGAACGTAAATTGCAGTAAGTCTCGGTGTCAAGGCCCATCAAAAAATCATTAGTTTTTTCGTTTTCAACATGCTTGATGAACAATTTCTTGAGGTCACACGTGCAACCATTGCAAGTGCATTGAGGTAAATTCCGAAGTCCGTCGTAATCATCCCATAGCGTCTTGAGTTGTCCAAAATAGGTGGTGATTGGCTGCCCTCGTTGACGGCAATTACGAATCAACTCCTTCAATTCGTAAGTTCTCATTGCATCTCCAACGGCAAAACATGCTTCCATGTCATTCCACAGGTCATACACGCTGTCCATATAGGCCAAGTTAGACCGGAGAGCCGGATCCGCCGACGTCATAATCCAACCCACCGCCATAGAATTGACGGTGTACCAGTCTTCGAGATCTCTTTCATTGTTCATGGGTCGTTTGATGGTTCCGTCAAGAAACCCCATTTTCCGTTTTGCACGGAACGCATTCTTCATTGCCGTCGCCCATTCCCGATAATTGCTCTCACCCTTGAGAACAACCGCACATATGTGCAATCCTGGAAAATCTGAGCTCGACAAGTAGTACGGCGAGGACGGATCATTAATCTTCCGTCGTTCACCTTGTTCACGGTTTCCTTCACCGACGTTGACTGTCTCGCCGGCCATCTTTTGTCACGATTGCGCTACCGGTTGGTCCCGGATCAACGCTCTGATACCATGTAAAACCGAAGCCAAAATATGGAGAATATTTTCTATTATTGTGTGTGTTCGTATACAACATGCATCCCATATATACAAGATGCGCATGAGTACTTTACAACGTACGAGTACTGTCATGTGTAACTAAAGGAGAAAAGAAAGGAAAGTAATTAAATGTAAAAACAGTCCTATTCTAATCTCACCGCTACGTACGTACATATGAAAATGTTACAATAAAATTATGTACACAAAAAATGATAATAATAGTAACGGCCAACAATGGTAAACTATATCATGCTTTATAAAGCATGTGCATCTCGGTTCGCAGAACGTTTACAAAATTTAACAATAAAATTCTTGTTAAGCATTAATTCACTCCTAATATCAATCTAAGAGTAATTCCAAATAAGATAAACCGCCCTCACCCTGAATCACAACAAGAGCATCAGATTCGAATTCCACCCTTTCCCAGCAATTCTATAATGCCCACTACAGTGCTTGACACTCCTTCATTTAAATATAAAAAAATAGTAAGAAAGTCTCGGCAATATAACTTCTATTCCAAAGCAAAATGAGGCTAGCGCTTTGGGGTAATCGTTCTCTTCCAAATCTATACATGTTCAACTTGCCTTAAAATAGATTTATAACTTTGACTTTACAGCTCATTAATATAATTAAACTGCTAGCTAGCTTGAATATACTTCCTCTTCAAAAATGATTTGCAAGTTTACTTTAATTTTTGGTCGATATAATATAATTTCATTTAATTCTTGTTTAGGCTATCGATTTTTAATCATATTCAAATTTAATATAGACTTTTCAATATAATTTTTGAATTTGTAAATTTGAAGTATTAAATCGAATTTAACCATTTGTGGGTAAAGAATTAGCTATTATGGTCAATCTCAAATTGCAAATGAATTTGGGATGAAGAAAGTATTTATGTCAATTTTAATTAGAAGCAGGTATATTAGTATATTCAATTTTTTTTATCTGCGAACACGAGTCACATATAAAAAAATAGTCTTCTCACATTGTGGATACAAGAGTGGGTATAAAGGGTGGGTACATGGACGGAGCTACTTGTATGTGTAAGGGGGCCAATGGGCCATGGCCCCTCCCATTTTTTTTTCTCTAAGTAGTACTATTATAAAAGTTTTGTGACCCCCCCCAAACAAAATTATGAGACACTAGTTGCTAATTACTACTAATATCTTTTTGTTACCAATTAATGTTATATGGAGTAAGTAATATGGATTTGATATAAAAATCTGGGCCTCTAATGATTTTTATCAATTAATATGAAATTATTAATAAATATATAAATGATGTGAGAAAATGACAAACTAAGTTTTAATTGACCTATTTTTTAATTTGAATATAGTATTGGTATACTATTTTATTTTGCTACAATATTTTTTTTTATAGAGATTTGCATTTTTAATCCCATAACTTTCGTGTATGACCGTTACTAGTCGTACAACTTTATTCTCTTGCAATTTTGATCTTGCAACTAATATTTCTTGGCAATTTTAGAACTTGTCTACTAGAAAGTAAACCTTACGATCGAAAATTCGACGTCGGCAACATATTTCACAATACTTTATGTCCACCCTATTTTATAATTTTATACTTGGATTATTTCCGGCCCCCTTTGCACTCCAGTCTGGCTTCGCCACTGGGTGGGCACAAACAGAATTTTCAACAAGTTTAGGGGCTATGAGCCTATGAAAGGGGGACACTTTCCCCTTCAAATTAAATAGAAGTGAAACATAAACAAAGTGTAAAAGTAAGAATAGTTATGTTTTATTTTCAAAAATGGAGGTATTCGGTTTATTGAAAATATAAAATTTCCTCAATTAGGAGTGGATGAGTCTTATTCTAGAAAGAATAAGATAGTGACAATTCTATTTGTACATTTTATCTATGTTTTAATCCTATTTAAGAAATTTTCTCCATTTCGTTCCTATTTATGGTGTCGGCCGGACCCACATATGAACTTGTACTCAAACCCATATGCATTTCCAAAGCATGACATCAATCCTACGCTGGACTGGCTTCTCCGCCGGTGATGGTGGTGGCGACGATGATGTATTCCTGATCTTGATTTCCTTATCGGGGACGATGAGCCTTCCCCACTCAACTTGTTGTCTCCTATTGTGGGCGAATGCATAAAATTTTCTTCCATTAATTCCCACGAAAGTGATGAAATGCTCATTGAATCTTTTCTCACCGTTTGATCTTCTATATTATTGTTATTACTCTCTCGGTCCGGGATAGACCAATTTTCGAATATGGAACTCCCGTAATCTTCTTCTTTACCAGAAAGGTATCCTTTCGATAGACCCGTTGCCATTTTCGATGGTAACGGGTGCATCTCGGAGATGTACGAAATAAAAGATCGGCGTGAGTTTTTCGCCTCGTCCTCTGACATGTTTGTTGTCGCCTGCATAATTTCATCCTCACCAGCAGGAACCTCCGAGGTTTTATTCTCATCCTTATATTCTTCAAACATGTTTGACCCCTTTGAAGCACTACTAAAAATAATGAAGATATAAAAAGAAATATTAGTAAAACACAAAGTACAAATAGATTATCACCGTTTCCTCTAAAATAACTCATCCAATCCTAATTAAAGAAGTTTTGTACTTTTAAAAAGATTAAATAAGTCAAATTTTGGGAATTAACACGACTACTCATATCGTTGCACTTTACATCTCTGTTTCACTCATAATTTGAAACAATTTCTTAAGTCTGAAATCAAAACCTATATCCTAGAGATGTTAACAAATACGTAGTAATTCACAAGTTATGACAAAAGCTAGCTCATTATATTGAATCATTTTTTATACAAACATTATAACAACTTATTATATAAAATCAGTGAGCTGAGCTGCATAACGATGTACGTAGTATAAATTTATTTGTCTACTGATCATATGATCATCAATTGTTTGTTACTCGCTTTATACTCGCTCTGTAAATGTAATACGGAGTAAAAGATACATTACCTTTCAGTTTGTGGGCCGGGGTCTTTGATAATTTTTTCTAGAAAAAAATGGTCAAACAGACCCTTCTAGAATATTTTCAAACCATCATCCAAGTCCCTATACTAAAAACAGCATCGTTGAAGAACGTTTACTTTTAAAAATTGTTTAGTATATCTATATAACCGGTTTATTATGGGATTCTGCTGTGAATGAATATCTCTGTGAAAGCTTTAAGGGTTACGGGATATAATTGCTTACTTGCACAGAATTTGAACACTTGTAAAAGAATGTTCAGGAAAAAAAATCAATGCTCGCATCTTATGAAAACAAGATCTCAATCACGAACAATGCTTTGGTGAAAAATTGATTGAGAGCTCGAGATTATCTAGATAGGTATTGGCTTTGGGTTGGGTGTTTTCTTATTAGTTTCTTTTTTGTTTGTACTCGTTATTTATCTTTTATTTTATGTTTTAAAAAAATATAACCGTTTTTTGACTTGTAATAGCAGATTCTTTATATTGAAAATACTCTAAAATTGTTAAAATTCAAATAAATATAAATAAAATATTTGAACAATTTAAAAATGTGAAACTCAATTTATGATTTAATGTATTTTACATATTCACTTTTTTGCATTATTCTGATTTTTTTTTTGTTTTAACATTTTTAAATTAGATATCTTATTTCCCTTCATTTTTACGAGTGTATATATTATTATTACATTATTTTTTCAAGTTTTTATGAATTTTAATAAAAATTATTAATTTTTCTAATTTATTTTTTCAAAATAACTGGCTGTAGCAGGTCAAAATGACTTGAGTGACTGTATTTTCAATGTAAGCATACTCATATGATACTTTGTTTTAGTACGGGGCTGAGGTGACGGATTTGAAATAGTAGAAGAGTCTATTTGACCTTTTTGCCTTTTTTTTAATTACTCCATAATTTAGCCTTCCTACATGTTGTACACGCCCTTCTTGTACACATTTCATGTACATCGTTTGTGAAGATTTTTTTATCTGTAAAATCTATTCAATGATAAATTATACTTCGTATTTTTTTCAAACAGACAAAAATTAAAATTACAGATGACCTGTATGGCCGGAGCATGTACAAAAAGGGACATTTTTTTCAATTTATCATCACCAAAATTTAAGAGAACCAACAAATTAAACATACCCTCTAGTTTCATCATCATTCACTTCTTCTATATTTGTCTGGGATGGGACATTTAAATGGCAGCGGATACCGCCGGTTTCTTTGAATTGGATACTAACATTGAGGGTTCCTTGTAAATGTCCGGTGGGGCGGCGGACCGGAAGGGCGGCGGTCCTTATGGAGGAATTATTGGCCAAAAGTGGTGGAAAGAAGTTGTTTAACGCAAGCTTGGCGGTGCCAATGGGAGTGTCACGTAGCCATGCAACGCTATAGATTTCGAAATTGACGGCGGCGTCGCCGGAGCCGAGAAGCTGGTTTTCGAGGCGGAAGGTGAACTTGTGATTCCACGTCGGGTTATTGTGGCCATCACGATTGATCCTCGTCGTCAACTTATGGCCGGAATCTAGCCATGCAACGGCGTACGTGCGGAGGGGTTTCGACACCGGAGGGAGATCGTGGGCGGAGATTAGGATGATTTGTAGGAGAGTGTGTGACGGTTGTGTGGACATTTTGATCTAGAAACGCCGGCCGACGGCCGACATGCAGGACAACGGTAGGCCAGGAAAGTTGTCGTCGTCGCCGTCTGGTAGCTGGACGGCGAGCGACAAAAACAATATGTACGGGAGAAAGCGAGAATGTGAATGCATGAGATGTAACAGTTGCTTTCCTATTACATGTATGCAAATTTGAGTATTACCTTAAATAATCAATGAACAATAAATAAATAGACCAATATTGGTAGAAACTCTATGTCGATCTTACGAAGTATTTCATTCTTTTCCAAATAAAAGAGTTTTGGGATGCGTATTGACCACATATTTACACTTTAATGTGTAATACAAGTCACAACTACTACGTCTGTCTCAAATTGATTTGAAAAATCAATTTCTTTTGTTAATTAATCAATGTAACAATGTTAAAGTTAAATCCTCCTTATTGATAAATAATTTAATTTTAATAATTAAAATTTACATAGTTAGAAAATACATTAAAATCTCTTTAATTTTTTTTTTTGAAGAAGGTGGCTTAGCTTAAATTGATATCAAAGCATTACCATTCTGAAAGGGAGTAAAAAGAGTAGAGAGCCACATCCAACCGTCAGCCGGCCGCGAACAAGACTCGGAGTTAATCACCTTCAAACAAGCAATATAACTCGTTGATCCATTAATGGGCAAACCTGAGCCACAGACGATTGAAAAAAGACCCGAACTCACCCGATCCTAATGTAAGAGTCTTACAATTGAAAGAAAAAACAACAGAAAAAAACACAGTCTAATCAACAACAACCAAAATAAAAATAGCAATAAAATAATTATTCTTCTCCAAAGCCAAGAGCATCTCCACTGATGCCTCCTTTGATCTTCTCGGCCACCCCACAAAGTCCAGTGGACGTACAGGAGGTCCGCCTCCGCTCCGTTTTTTGTCCGTCAAGTGCCATGCCTTCCCCTGTCATAGTATCCTGTCTCCCTTCCTCCCATGTTCTTTTGCGCTTTGGCTCTCCCGAATTCTTTTCTGGACTAACTGAGTTTCCTTCCTTGATAGAGCTATTCCCGGTGTCTGTAGTCTCCTTCCAGTGCTGCCTCTCCGTGTCCTGACTATCTGACATCCCCACCCCAATACTGGAGAACCCCTCAATCAACCACTATGTACCCCATGTGGGACTGGTCTTCACTCTGGTCCCAGCTCTAAGGTCCACTCCATAGTTTTTATCAAAAGTGATATTTTCCCCTTCATATACTACCGGGCAAAGCTTATCTGAATGCCCAATAATACTGCAAACAAAACAGAAGTTTGGAAGTTTTTCATATTTAAAGTCCACCCATTGGCTAAAACCCACCTTTTTCAACATAGTACCTTTTTCAGGGGTATCCTAATATCCATACGAACTCTAATTCTCAGATAAGGCTTAAAATTTTCATCAGATTTCTTATCATCAAAACTAATGAATTTTCCAATGTAATCTTCAATCCGTCTAGCATAACCCAGGTTCATAAATCCATAAGCACGATTGTGCACTTGCACCCAAAAATCAGCCTCGTAATGGTTAATTTGTAAGGGAATATCTTCCGTCTGAATTTCTTTTAACAATAATAAATTTCGTTCGAACAGCCATGGGCCTTCGTCCAGAACACGCCTCATATCTAAAATATGATAAAAGGTAAAGATGTACCTTTTGTCACCAATTTCCTGAGATGAAACACCTTTCACTGGTCTCCACAACGAGGCCATCAATTCTTTGAACAATTGAAATTTTTATCTTACGATCAGTCAGAATTACTCCAACCACAGGAAAATCAGGCGTACCTTTGTGCGAAACCTCTCCTTCTTCTTCATCGAAAAACACTTCTTCCTTGTCATCCCCAATAGCCATCTGTTTGTATTGGTGAACCACGTCTTCCATTAATTTATCAACGTTGCTGCTTCGAAACCTGCCCACTGTCGCTTGCTTCTTCCTTTGACCGAACTTCTAGTCACTCTGCTGAACCCACAACATTCGTACGATTTCCTCCCGCCACCACGCGAGGGTCGTTCCCCTCTCGAAACGAAAAATAGAAATCAATAAAACGGAGGCTGCACATCGGAAGCTATCCGAGAGCAGAAATCGTAGACCCTAGCGATCGAGTCCTAAGGAGAAATTTTAGTATTATACTTTGACCCTCTTTAAAGTTGTAAAGTCCCAATCATATTTTAATATAAAAAAATGATGTCCTAATTAGGTGAACAAAATGATATTGTTTATCAAAAAATTGTGTTTGCAAATCAATTTCGGATGGAGGAAGTACTAGTTTATGCGCAGTACTTTATATTACCTTTCTCCTATTATACATTGTCAACTTTGCGTTAGATGTGAAATGAGAGAAGTAACAAAGATATGATTCAAAGTTGTGAATATGACAGATAAATAAATAAATAAAACCACAAATATTACCCGAAATAGGACTAAAAAGGTTTGAAAATTCCAAAATAGGACTGTCATGTTTTTATTCCTAAAGTAGGAATAAAAAATTATGAAATTTAATATATTTTTGTAAAAATAGGAATACAATTAAAAAAGTTATATGAGTTTAAATAAAATAAAATAAATTAACATGGGATTCATCTACTACTTTTTGTTCATTGGCCCTTTCCCCTACTTTTTGCTTTTACTCCTCTCAATAGAGAGTGAAAAGTGGGTTGGTTATTCTCATCTCTAAGTCCTAGCCATTCACTTTCCCTCTTTCCTATACCATTGATTGTATAAAAAATTGGGATGTAAACATTAAATTTATTCTTTTCACTCCAAGATTGCAACTAGTCTAATAGCAGGTTTTTAATATTTAAAAACTCTAAAAAAATTGTTAAAGATTGAAGAATTATATACAAAAATTGTGAAAATTTTTCAGAATATCAAAGTCAATAATTTCTAATTTTTAAAATACTTGTATATATTCGTATTCTGTACAGACGTTCGTCTTCGTCTTATTGACCTTAACGGGCCAGGACGTCCGACAAGGGGTTTTTGGGCCGATCCTCTAATTGGGCCATGAACCCAACAACCTCGTTGAAAAGATCATATCGAGAATAAAATTTGTATTCAGCCTTCATTTACAAAATACTATGAGAATGGTACCTTTTACACCAAACATCTAAATCAAGACACTATTTATGGAAATTGGCTCTATTTACTTCAAATATGCTCTATTTGCTTTTAAAACACTAAATTTACAAAATAAAAGTAGACAACTATTTATTTTAATCAAATCTCGTTGTATGGTCTTCTATTTCAAGCATTTGATATATCTATTGAGTTCTAAAACTCATTTTCATAATCCATCTACAAATTATTAAAGGATTAGTATGTATTAGTTGCAATAAAAAACATTGTTGAGGTTACTTCGAACAGGCAAAATTTTTCTTGAACTAATGTTCAAACTTCATTTACAAGAACGTTAAAGGCCGGATAGGTATGTAAGACTTGACTCAAACGGAGTAAGCATTGATTTATTTTGTTCTGTTCGAAGCAGTTTATACCTCATTCGCAAGATCATAGTGAGTTCTAAAACTCATATTCAAATTACTTTTACAAATTATTACAACATGGGCACCTTTTACACCGAAATGCGAAATCAATACTATTTGATCCATTTAGGCTCTGTTTATTCCAAATATGTTGTATAAAATGACATCTTCTCCGTCCTCCCTCCCCCTCCTTCTCCTCACCCTCCTTCATTGCTAAGAAGGAACCAATGAGACTCCATGTCCCATTCGGAAGTCGGAACTGGGAAGGACAATTTAACCAAAATTTTACATTTTGTACCACACCATGCTGATTTTTATACTCCGTACAATACAATATGATATCTGTTTTAGACCCACCACCGGTTATTGGGTAGGGATGGACTCGGGCCGGGCCAACCGGCCCGGAACCGGACCGGCCCGCTACTGTGCGGACCCGGACCGGCCCGGTGAACCGGTTAGTGCCCGGTTCGGGCCACCCCGCCCGGTGGGATAGCGGTCCGGGCCCGGGCCTGATATTTAGTGAACCGGCCCGGCCGGTCCGGGCCTCATCGGTCATATTTAAAAAAAAATAAAATAAAATTGTTAAAGGCTCTCTAGCCGTTGGGAGAGCTCCCAAACGGCTCTATAGCCGTTGGGAGAGCTCCCAAACGGCTCTATAGCCGTTGGGAGCATAGGAGGGGGGGTCTGGGGGATTTGGGGGTGGGGTGGGGTGGGGGTGGGGTATACAAAAAAAACCTATTTATACTCCTATTTTCTATACATTTTTTACACCTCTTCTTCTACAACTCTTCCTACTCTCTAATTCTCTATTCTCTCAATCTCTTATATTCAATCATCTTCATTCTTCATCTTCTCCAAATTCTTTCTACATATATACTACGCATAATTTATATAATTATTATATCTACTATTCTACTTATACGAAGTATATTAATTATCTACTTATAAATATATACTTATACACATTCATATTATAATTCTTTACACATTATATATACTATATATAGTTATACACATTCATATTTACTTGATATTTAGTTATTATCCATACTATTGTTATTTACTTATATTTTCTTAGTTATTATGCAAAACAATTTTGATAAGTGGAAGGACCCGAAGACCGGACTGTGGTGGGCAACTTGCAAGTGGTGCAAGAAAGAGTGTTGCTTGGGACGTTCACACGGAGTCGGGATGACAATAAAACATATGAAGTCATGTGACAAAGGCAAAACAACAACCAACGGTGGCGGAAATCCCAATTGATATTTATTAGAAAATGTATTTCATATTGTTATTGTTTTCTCAATTCTCAAATGTACTTCCTATTTCAAATAAATGCACTTGAATTTTGTTTTTAATAAGAATTATTATAATAATATAATATATAATTTTAAAAAAAATTATAAGGCCCGGCCCGGCGGGCGGCCCGGCCCGTGAACCAGGCGGGTGACCCGGACCGAACCAGACCCGGGTTTACCCGGGCCGATTCCGGGCCTCCCATACCTTGAACCGAGGCCCGGCCGGTTCAAGGCCCGAACCTGGCCCGGCCCGAATTGAGTCCATCCCTATTATTGGGTTGGGATTTAGAACTTGAAAGAAACTAATAGATTTAAGTTTGAAAGAGATTAAATGACATTGGAAGACATATATTACCCTATGCTCAGCCCTAAACCAACTTCTGGGAATAAAAGACCAACTCAACCACAATTCCACATGCATTGGTTCTATTCCTTGGCAATTGAGCCATCAC